AAGCTTTAATCCAATGTTCAAAGGACGGTGGCCGACTAGCATCTATTCATAATGCTTTTGTTGGTTTCAATATTTGATGATGATTTGTTCCAGCTCGAGATTACTCATTACAGACCAACGCACTGATCCTACATCTAGCTGATTATGTTGGTGCAGCCAACATTTGGATAGGTTTGGTATGTCCTGATACAAATGCGAAGAATTGTGTATGGGATGATGGTCGAATAGGAGCAGATCAGTACAATGCATTTTATCCAGGTAAGAACAGTTTGTTCAAATGATTTACTGAGAAGCATCTCATTGGAGAGTTGAGGGAAATCTGTTCAACGCTGTAAAATTTTTAGGCTATCCTTGTGGAAATTGTGATCAACATTGGTTGCATATGTTTAACTCGAAAGCGGGTGACAGCGCTGGCAAATGGGCCTCAGCAAGCATATACCGTGCTAAGATCGGCTATGTTTGTGAAGTGTCAACAAGAGGTACTGTAACCTAGTATGTGAGACTGCACATATGCGCGGCATTTAACGACATTTTTACGAGTAACTCCTTAGGAAGACCTTTGCGAGCGTAGCAAATTGTACAGGATACGGAAAAAGTACTGTCCCCCAAAATAAAGATGAAGGAATTGGCGTGATTCCCATGTTATTCTGTTAAATTCGACACAAACACAAAGGTATGAATATTATCCTAGCATTTTACAAAAGCTGGCCCCAAAATTCTGCGATTTCACCCGGCGGCGATCCATCTTCGCTACGCATGTTTTATCAATTCTTGCAGCTCCCTTTCACAAAAGCGAAGAAAGTGTGAAGATTTTTGAAAAATTCTATTGTTTTCGAGGTGATTTGAGAAATCTTCTATTGCTTTAGGAATGTATTGGTGACCTCGAGTTATCTGAAACTAGCCACTCCGCAGTAGCACTGAAAGAAAAGTCGTGAGTTTGTTTAATGAAAAAGTGGCTGCGGCGCAACAGGATGCGACCAGAAAACATGGCACAGAAAGTTAGTACAATCGTTTATTTGACCGAAATTATGATGTTGAGAAAGCTCGGTGTTTCTTTCATCATTTCCGTCATCTTTTGTTAAAATCTGGGATCCTAAGTCAAAGTTTTGATCCAATTTGTCAAGCAAGAGAAGTTCTGACTAATCCGTTTTCAAAGATTCTTGCCATTCGCGCGAGATGTAACTTTGCTTGTTTGGCTAGAACAAGACATTACTAATTATAACTGATGTATAATAAGTATAGAATACTGAAGAAAAGTTATGCGCTGCAAATCATCAAGATTTGAACATTATATCACTTCTGATGGTGTTGTTATGGTCTAAAATAATGTATGCTGTCGGCGCA